GTCGAGAGACGACACTTTGGAGATCACAACGCGCTACAGTCGAAACTGCCTATACGCATAGTGGATATTTATGCATCCGAGAGGCTTATTATTTGTGGAAGGTAAACATATTTGGCTCGGGTATAATTTTTTTCGTTGTGATCAAAACTACATTCGCGCGCCAGCTATCTATTTGTCCATCAGGCATCTTCGTCGTCGACGTAGCGCACGGGACGTTCGCGAACAACCTCGAGACAGACAGTCTTCTCAGCCATAGTGCGCCATCGGGCTTCGTCGCGGACCATGCGCGAGACGGTGGTTTGGCTAATGTTGGGAAAACCGTTGGCGTTGAAGTACGTGGCCGTGCGCGTCTGGTTACAGCCGTTTGCATGGTAGAAGTCGAGGATTTTGGTTATGTCATAGACGTTGGGCGACGATCTCATCTTCTTAGCAGCGTCCTTCGCCGCGGCGCGCGACTTGGGCGCCTTCTGCTTCGCCATCGGCAAACCACGTTGATTTAATTACGCTCGGTGAACAAAAAAATACAATAGGTGATATATCACACCCAAGAGGATTATTGAGTCTCGGGATATGCATATAGACAGGTTCGACTGTATGTCACTCGATCGGTCGAGACTTATGGGCCGAGAAATTAAGACTCAAAGATGGGGTTTTCATACCATGAGCAGGAGCGATCTTCCTCTGCAAAATGAGCAAAGTGCAAAGTGAAGGGAGGCGGTCTTGCAAGGTGGCGACCGACAACAGCATCTCGAATGGCAGCGGCAGACCCTTCTGTACTAGTACTAGAAAAGACTGGAGGGTGCAGTAGTAGAGGCACATGCACGGTTGCACGTGTAGCTCTGCTTGTGTACGCACCATTTCAAATGTGGTCGTTTTCTTGTCAAGCCCTTCGACTATACCTGACGCTCGCGATCCTAACTGCCCAGAAATTGCTATTGTAGATGTGAGTTTCTCCATCCAAATATCACGATTCTTCGTGACCAACCTCGGCCGCTTTTCGACCGCTTTGCGTCAAATGGGGCCAGATGCATAACGATGTGAACGAATACCCTGGAGTAGAGCCAAGCTGTGCGCATACCAGCTCGTTGTAGAGAATGAAAAGATGATTTTTCAATAAATTTATGGGTGTAAAAAGATAGTGTTCTCGATACGAGCGTATCGCCTCCGACGAAGGCCTTTAGCAGCAGTCGGTCGACGATGTAGTGTGCGTTGGCGCTGTGAGATCAAGTCCCGACAGCGTGCGACCGCGGCTCTCGAGGGAAAGCGACTGTGTCCGGTGCACGGTCGTGAGCAAATCGCGGAACGCGCGGTCGACATTGGCGCCCGTTTTCGCCGATGTTTCAATGTAGTTCATGTGGTGGGCGGTCGCGAATCGCTGCGCCTCGGCCATCGACACCATGCGCTTGCTCGGCTCGACGTCCGCCTTGTTGCCGACCAACACGGCGGCGAGGCCGGGCTCGGCCACCTACCCCCGTTAGTGAGAGGCTATATTTCAAACCGACTCGGTACCTGAAGGAGCTGGTCCAGCCAGCGCTGGATGCCTTCAAACGAAACGGGGTCGCTCACGTCAAAGACAAGGAGGGCGCCGACGGCCTTGCGATAGTAGGTGCCCATCATGGCATGGAACCGCTCCTGGCCTACAAAATATATCGCGTGAGCGGTATTGAACCGGCGACAAGGGCTCACCGGCCGTGTCCCAGATCTGCGCCTTGACGCTCGTGCCGTCAATCTCCATCACATGCGTGAGAAACTCGACGCCAATGGTCGACGCAAAGTCGGTGCTGAACTCGCCCTTGTTGAGGCGGCTGAGCAGATTGGTCTTGCCGACCCCCGAGTTGCCCAATAGAATCACTATAGGCGGAGTGTAGTTCACCGTGATAGTTGCTATTTCGATTGCAAACCTTTGTTGACGGATGGTTTGGCTGGGACGGCCACGACCGGCGCGACAAGCGACGCTTGGCGACGCGGCACTTCGCGGCACGGCGGGTTGGCGACAAAGTTGGTACCGTAGCTACAGAATGCAAGATGGTCCCATGAGGAGGACAATATGTACAATCTCGTACTTTTTGTCGAGCTCGACGTAGAGCCAATGCATGCGCCCGTCTTGGTAGTACGTCACGAGTGCATCGATGTCTTTGAGCTTCTCGGGCAGATTCCGCTCCGTGTAGAATTTCGTAAGAAATTCCTTGGGCGTCGGCGGCACATCCGGCAAGAGGTTGATCTTGGACACAAACTTGGTGATGCTTGCCGCCACGTCGTCCAATGTGAGTGACGGACGGGTTTGAAGTGGCGGCGGCGTTGCCTCGACCGCCGTATACGACAGCGTCGGCGTCGTCGTCGCCGGCGTGACAATGTCAAGGGGTGCGTGGGTCGGAGACGGTGTGGCCATCGAAGCGCGAAATCAAAACTTGCACTGTCGAGCGCGCTTTTTTGTCTATTTCGGGCCATGGATCCAGCGTCCCGTGTCAAAATGGCGCCTTGAACGGAAATGGCGCACGCGGATTGGCTGCGTTTGAAAACCGACGTGCGCGGCAGCCAATCAAATGCAAACGTTTGGCGCGCCACCGAACGAGACGTTGGATCGAGCTGGCATTGGGTGCAGTTCTACACTAAAGTTATCGATAGTACGCTGTCATATACGATGCACGATAGATGCCTACATGTGCAGGGTTGACATTCTCAATTCGTTTGATTGGCCATTGGTGTTCTACCGTCGTAAACGACCTTACATTTAGCGGTTTAAACGCTGGTTTGATGCCCGAGTTTGCTGCGCGGCTTCTTAGAGACGTAGTGACAATGGTCGACGATGTGATTGCTGGGAAGGCAAGCGCGCAATGATACAACAGGACGATGTTCGGGTCCTTCAAGACGCGCCTATGGATAGACGGCTCGTGTGAGCGCCGACAAGGTCCTAATCGTAGGGTTGTTCTTGCGCCAACCTAATTTCTCCTTGGGTCTGTCCACTGGTGCTGAGCCACCCCTCTGGGGTCTGTCCTTGTTGTCCGCAAAAGTGTGGATACCAGAGTACGTTCGCAGAACGTGCTTTTCGCGTGACTCACACGGCTAACCATTACGCAGAGTTGCCTGCTTCAATAAAGGTTTGCATCGTGGACGTTGAAGCTGCAGAGACGAGGTGGCTCCTCGGACGCTAGACAGGCGGCTATGGCCACACTAAGGCTACATCTCGCTACCTTGTTTGAATCTACATCAAGCCGACTCGAGCGATCTCTAGAGCTTGGACGCTAGAGGTATCTCTCGGCAAAGGTCTGCGGATAAGGGACCCTTGGCCGCACCAAGCGACGTGGGATGTGTCACGTCCTTGCGCCACGCAACGCACCAATCCGCGTGCATGCGAATCTGATTTTGCACCAATGAAAACACAGGACGATTTTTGACCAATCCGTGGGGCGCTCGCCGGGCGCAAATCTTTCGGCCACTGACGTTTCGTCAACTTGATCGAGCCATGGCCGCGGTCCTCTTCCAGATCCACACGGCGGCGCCGCTCACCGCCGACGACCGCTACGTCGCCGTCGTCGGCAACGTCTCGGGTACGCTCCTCTCGTCGTCCACGCAGCATCTCATCGTCCTGCTTAGAGCTCGGCGCATGGGACGTGGCCAAAGCGGGTAATGCGACGCCGCCAGGCAATCGCCGCGCTCATGCTTTCTCTAGTTCCGCTCAAGAAGCACGCTGGCGCATCGACGCTCTGGGAGGCGACTCTCGAGGTCGCCATGTACGCGCTGATCGAGTACAAGTACATTGTGCTGGACCGCTCCGGTGCCCTTGTGCTCTGGGAGTCGTTGCCTGGCAACCGCACGCGCGTCGCCGGCGGGACCAACGTGGCGCTGTAAGCTCTTGCTGTCGACTATGTACAGATGCGACGTGGCGCGCGTAGGCACAAACCGGTCACGCAAAGCTCGATCTTTGTGGCGCCCGCGGGACCGGGTATGTACATCCGCGCCTAGCCTTGACGTTCTGATGCTACTGACGACGCTGACTAGTGCCGGGCCCCCGCGTGCCGGAGCTGGCCGTCAACGGCAACACGAGCGGCCATTTCGAGCACATGTGCTGTCGCACGACCGTGCAAGACCAGCCGTACTGGCAAGTCGACCTGCTCGCGGTATGGCCTTGGACTAATGCTGCAACCTTGTACTACCTACGCTTTAGAGCACGCCGCTCACCAAGCTCGTGCTCTGGAACCGCCAAGACATGTTCTTGGACCGCCTCGTGCCGGTGTGGGTGCTACTCTCCGACACGCCGTTCGCCAATCTGTCGTTGGACGCGGCGAAGAAGCAAGCGCTGGCATCGATGCGGTAGACATTGCTCTTCTTGTTCTAGTCCATGGCCAATGGTAGCCTTATGGGACTAGGTTTGCCTCGGCGGCGACGCAGTTTGAGTGGCCATTGACGACCAGTGCGCGGTACATTCGCGTGCAGCACGAAGCTGCGCACACGAGTTTGCAGTTTGCACAGCTCCAAGCGTTTACGCCAGCGCATTTGGCGCCGCCGGTATGTATACGACGCGCACTACTGCGGTGCTAATCTAAGGCGTAGATCCTCGATGGGTGGTTTGGCTTGGACAACCGGTTGCTCGGCGATGGCCAGTCCCACATCGACGTACGCCTTCCGATCCGACTACCATTTTGTCTCATGCATGCTGGGTATGTAGGGGCAATGGCTCGCGCCGGGTGCGGCGCCCGAGCTCCGCCTCGTCTTTGGAAGGTGCGTGGTCTGTTCTTTCTCTATCTTTTTTCTGTCGATTTCCTGTATTTTTCTGTATATTTCCTGTATTGGACACGATGTTACAGTGTGTTGTATCGGGACGACTCTGACGACGAGCATGTAGCTTTGACAAGAAGCCGTCCGTGACCTTTGCCGACAAGGTGCAGCGGTCCATCTACCTCCAAGCGCGCGTCCTGGGGCAGCCATCGGCGTCGACTGTCCACGCACCGTACTGTGCGGATTTGCGCGCGGTGGACGTCGCGACGCCGACGCCGCATTTGGATCGCGAACTTCTCGGCAATGCGCTGCCGCTCCCGACGTTGCTATCGAAAGGACTCGACGTTGTGTCGCTTCTGACGACGCTGCCGACGCACGTGCGTCACGAGCTCACGGCCAAGCTCGAGCGCGTCACGTTTGCGGACACGCAGCCGATTCTTTCGATTGGCCAAGACCGCCACCACTTGATCCTGATCGACGCGGGTGTCGTCGCCGTCCAGGGCCCGACGACGACGCAGGGCACGGCTACCTTCTTCGAGCTCGGGCCGGGCGCGTACCTGGGCGAACTGGTGCGGCGATATGGTGCCGTTGCTTGTGCTCAGTGTCAGCGTAGGCCCTCGTGAGCGGCGCGAACCGCAGTGCGCAGGTCGTCGCCAAGGGCGCGGTGACGCTCTTGCGTCTGCACCGTGACGACTTTGCCGCAGTCATGGCCGCGCACGGACTTGACGCGATGTCGCTGCTGGCAGCGCACGCCGACGTGGTCGCGTCGGGGCTGCCGCTTTTGACGACTACACCGTCGCGCAAGACGCCGTTCGTGGCCCAAGACACGCTGCAGGTACGCTGTCGCCATTGAGGTATATCGACCTGATGAGAAGCTAGGTGTTTCGTCTCGGGCATTTGCCGGCGTCGGCGTCGGTGGCCATTGATGTGGTCGATGTGACCACGGACTCTGTGCTTGGCACGAGTGTGCTCGTGGCGTCCCAGCTCCACCGCACCAACGGCGCGCTCTCAGCACCGTTGCTGTCGCCGTCGTTTTCGGGTACTTGTATAACGCTCCATCATGGACAACTTGTCATTTGTGCGGGCGTAGTCGTCGGCGAATTGCTCTTGCGGTATCTGCACCTCAAGCCATTTGTGCACAAGGACAACACGCTCGCATCGGCGTTCCGCACGCAATGGCTGCACGGCCCGGCGCTCGACATGGGCCACCGCGGCCTCGGTCGATCGTACTACCAGGTAGCGCTCGCCTTCTTGTTTCGTTTTGATTTTATAGTTTTTAACGCATTTATGATGTTGAACTAGGCACTCGGGTATCGTACGTCGCACATTCGCGAAAATACGCTCACGTCCTTTGTCGTTGCTGGCCTCCACGGCGCCGACTGGATCGAGTTCGACGTGCAACTGTCCAAGGACCGCGTCCCGGTGGTGTACCACGACTTCTTCTTCAAGGCGGCGCTCGAAGACCGTCGCGGGCGGTCGCCGGGGGCGTTCACGAAGACGGGGCTCCATGACTTGACGCTCGCGCAGTTGAACAACGTCGAGTGGCGTCACGGCAAGTCGGTCACGGACGGTCCGCGCTTGCAGCAGCTCGTGCGCAAGCACTGGCTCAAGCTCGTCAAGACAAAGACGACCAAGTCGACCCGTACCCCCCGTACCCCGCCGACGACGACGACCCCTTCCACGACCAAGGTCGACTGGACGGCGCTCTCGGAGCTCTTTCCGACGCTGCAAAACTTGCTGACGCACGTACCCCCCTACGTGGGTCTCAACGTCGAAATCAAGTACCCAGTGGACCCGCCGGACGCCCCATGCCTCCGGAGCCTCGACGCGTTCGAGATGAATGCGTACTTGGACGACATCCTTGCGTGCATTTTCGAGCACGCCAACGGCCGGCGCAACATTGTCTTTTCATGCTTTGAGCCCGACGTGTGCGTCCTGCTCCGGGCCAAGCAGACACGGTACCCTGTCTTCTTCCTTACGTGCGGCACCGACGTACGTATTCTCGTCTCCATTGTGGACCCACAGCATTGTGCTAGATCACGGGGCTTGTGCCTGATGTGCGGACCATCTCGCTCGAGACGGCGGTCCCGTTCAGCCGCATGGAGCAGCTCCAGGGCATTGTGACCAACTCGCTCCCGCTCTTCACCAAGCCCAAGTGGATCCGCCACATCCGCAACGACCACTTGCACCTCTGGACGTGGGGCAACCACAACACGGGCCATGACAAGGTGCAGTTTCAAAAGATGCATGGGGTCTCGGGCGTCATCTCGGACAACGTCGGCGACCTCACCAAAGTCGACAAGAAGCTCCGTCCGCGTGATCACGGCGCCAGCATGAGCTAAGTTGGCGGCGCTTGCTGGTAGCAGAGCGTTGCGTTTCTAACCCATTGAACCACTTGTCTCTAACTCGGTACTAGATAGTTGAATCTGGATCGATTCCAAAGTCGAATTGATGATGGGCGTCAAGGTTGAGCCAAGAGAGAGGAAGAGGAGTCCGTGGTGGACGGTATCGACGGACGCCATTGAGCAAGCTGCCTTACCAGGAGGGATCAAGGATGTGTCTCGTCGATCAACTGCTCGTACGCGTACCGTAATTCACACAAGTGTACCGTCAAAATGATCACTTTACGGCAATATGACCTCACTTTTCCGCGTTTACTGTGTATACACGCACTTTCAACAAGCAAAGTCGCCACTCTTTACGATACCCTGCCGCGCCACAAGTAATTATCACGTTCCGCCAAGAATATTTGGTGAATTGCGATAGTCAACTACGAATAGCCAAGAGAGAGGAAGAGGAGTCCGTGGTGGACGGTATCGACGGACGCCATTGAGCAAGCTGCCTTACCAGGAGGGATCAAGGATGTGTCTCGTCAATCAACTGCTCGTACGTATGCTTCACCGCCGTGCTGAGACCCAAGCCCTGAGAGGAGGCTTGAACACAGTGATGCAAATTGGAGAGTGAATTATGTAGTTATGGATGAGCTGGTCAATATTGTCATAGACACGTAATACAAAAGACACGCAGGACCTGCATGGAGAAGACCAGAACGGGGACGAGGCGAGGGAGACTGAACAGGCGAGGGAGACGGAACAGGCGAGGGAGACGGAACGAGTCAGAGACATGGTGTTGCACCACATACGCGTACCATAATTCACACAAGTGTACCGTCAAAATGATCACTTTACGGCAAAATGACCTCACTTTTCCGCGTTTACCGGGGCTTTGGCGTGTATACACGCACGTTCAACAAGCGAAGTCGCCCACTCTTTACGATACCCTGCCGCGCCACAAGTAATTATCACATTCCGCCAAGAATATTTGGGGAATTGCGATAGTCAACTACGAATAGATGGGTCCTACTCACAAAAACGTTTGTTTTTAGTTCGACTGAGTTTCAAACGCCATCGACGGGGCGATAGGGTATATACTAAATTATCAACATATCAGGTCGAGGTATATACTATCAATATATCAAGTTGAGGAGTCCAGCTAATCGTCCTTCTTGAACATCTTTTTGAACATGCCGCCGATCTTGGACTTGCGGTGCTTCTCGTCGTCGTAGTACATGGAGCTCGTGCTCGACGGACGCATCTTGCCCTGCGGGTGGGCCCAGTTGGTCGTTGCCGCCGTCGTCGCCGTCGAGCCTTCGCCGATCGAGTACGCGTCCGAGTGCCGTTCGTCGATCTCCACCTCGTGCCTACAGTCGTATCGCATTTCCATGTGAGCTGCTTCAACAACAAGACGGTACGTTGGCGCGCTGCCGTCAAAGCAGGTGCGGACTTTGGCCAGGACGTCGGGCGACACGCGGGCATCCCGAAGCACTTGAAGCACATGCTACACCACAGTGCTACATCACGACCAGAGAGGAATCAAAGGCGTACGTCTTGGGTGCTATCGTCGTGCAGCGTCGAGGCTTTCGACAGCCGGACCTCTTCCTTGAGGTCGTGGACCTGCTTGATGTACTTCTTCATCTTCTCCTCTTGGCTCTTGATGAGCGCCGCGTGGGTGCTCATGAGACGCAGATTCGCTTTCGACTGCTGCTTGTTGTGCTGGTTGAGCGCTGCAAAGGAGGCGCCGGCCGCCGTGTACGCTTCCTTGATGCGCTTGTTCTCCGACCGAAGTCCCTCGAGCTCGTGGGACGCCGACGCGTGGAGGTCGCGCCACTTGGTGACCTGCAGCTGCAGCGTCGAGAGCATGCGGCCCGAGTCGTCCTACGCATAGCGTTCAAGTCGCCCGTTCACGACACAAACACGCACATTTTGAAAAAAGTACGCAAAAAATACGCAAAAAATACGAAAAATACGAAAAAGACGAAAACACAAACATCGAGTCGTACCAGAAGCGAGAGGTCGTCGGCGCTTCCACGCGCGAGCGACGACGGTCGCTGCTCGTCTTGGAGCTGCTGCTGGAGCGTCGAGTTGGCGGCTTCCATTTGGGCGCGCATGGCCTTTTCCTCGTCCAAACGAATCTGCAGCACGTGGAGCTCGTGCTCGATGCTCTGCTGCTTGGCCAGCTCGTCCGCCTCGAGCTTGCGCTTGGCCTCGAGCTTGCGTTGTTTGATTTGGCCTTGGATCGCGACGACGGCGGCGCGAAGTCGCAAATACGACTTTTGGGCCTTGTACGTGCGCCAGTTGCGCTGCAAGACAACCGCGCTCGTGTACAGCTTGTGCTGATGCAGCGCCGACCGCGCGTGGCGACCGCGCCAGAGCGACTGCAAGAGAATGCAGCGTCGGCGCACGAGCTGGAACCGGCGGCGGCGTTGGCGGCGGCGAAAGTTGGCTTGCAGCCGAACAATGGCCGAGCGCACACGCGTATACATCTTGCGCACGCGGTACCTATATATCAAGTGTTTGATAAGTCTCATCGCGTCCAAATGTATCAAGGTATCGAGGTATCGAGGTATCGAGGCGTACCCTTTGAAGACGCGCTGGATCGCGATCGCACGGTCTTGCACAAAGAGGATCCGCCGGTGCTCGAGGTCTTCGAGGACGTTGGCCGCAAAGTACATATGGTGCGAGCCCATGACGAACGTGTCCTTGGACTCGGGCGCGCCGAGCAGCCCGGACGCGACCGTGACGCACGCTGTCGCGACCGTCGCGCCCGATTTCGGCGGCGCGTCATCCTTCCACATGACAAAGAACCGCTGCAAGAAGCGTTCGTGCGACATTTTGTTGGGAAATGCCGCACGCGAGATGCGAATGGCTTCGACGACGCCGGCGCAGCGCAGCTGCTCGATGACGCCCGGCACGTCATAGAGCGTGCTCGACTTTGCGCTGTTGGGCTTGATGCACCGAATGTAGTGCGTCTGCGTATCGCTAATGTCGGCCATGAGACCCGTGAGCTGCGCCTTGAACTTGGAAATGACCGTCTCGCCTAAACATATCAAGTTGAAACAAAAAGAAGAATCGAGAGAGCATGTACCCATGAACGACGCGGTCGACTGGCGGCGGCCGCCAAGGACACTCGGCTTCTTGATCGGTGCCGGTTCAAAGACACTGGCGATGATGGTGTTGGCACTGGCGCCGAGCAGCGCGAGGACATCGGACGAGAGCGCGTCCTTGTTGGTATCGACGAACGCTTCAACGTGGTACATGACGGTGCCTGCATAGTGCCGCAACGCAAAGTGCGCTGCGCTCAGCTACCGATCGATTTGAGGATTCGGATAGATGGATACATGGATAGATGGATAGATACCCGCGCGCGCTGCTTGTCCAAGCGCGGATTTGCGTCATGCGTCGAGAGCACCTTGGAGCAGAACGCGAGGTCGTTGCCCATCGGTCGAATGCACTCGTCGTTGAGGAGCGAGATGACGCCGAGCGGCGCTTCGAGCATGTCGAGCATGTCTTGGTTGTCGCGGAAGCTCACGTACGTCCAGCCAAGCCCTTCTTGCGTGTACTCCTATCATATATCATCAACAACACAAATACTATCAACGTATCAAGCGTGACGTACGTCCTGGACGCTCTTGAAGACGTCGTGGGTAAACTTTTGCTGGAGCTTTTCGTTGGCAAAGTTGATACAAAACTGTTCAAACCGGTTGGTCTCGAACGCTTCAAAGCCAAAGATGTCGAGCAGATCCATGTGACCGACCATGGCCTCGTCGTTCGAGATGCTCTCATTGACCCGCTGCACGAGGTGGCCAAAGAGGCGCGCGTACACTTCTTTGGCGAGTGCATCGCGGTTGGCCGTCGCTTGGTCGATCGTCAACGGCACGACATAGACCTCCATGCGCGCCTTGACCGTCCGGCTGCAGAGCGCGCTTCCCAAGGCGGTCGGGTCGACCTCAAACCCGAGCAGGCGACACGCGTGCGCCCAGTGCGGCGACGACGTGAGGGGCGCACACTCTTCGGCGTTCTCGGCTTTGGTCGCAAATGCCACTTGGCCCAAGTGCAGGATGCCGGCGAGGGCGTTGAGCAGCGCCATTTGCTCGTCGAATGACACGCCGATCGTCGAGAGCGCGTCACGGGTCGTCTGGTATCGTGTTGCGTCCGTCTCGCCGTCCAGAAGCAGCGGTGCATCGTCGCGAAGGTACGTGAACGTCGTCTCGGCGAGGGCCCACTCGGGCTCTTTTGACGCCTTGAGCTGGTAGAAGATGTGGTAGTTGCGCTCGTACTCGGCTTGGCCGATGACGCGCGACTTCTCGAGGAGGTAGTGCCGGCATTTTGCGCCGACCATGCGCTGGTCCGCGTCAAACTGCAGCTGCGTAAACTTGCCAAACCGACTCGAGTTGTCGTTCCGGACAGTCTTGGCGTTGCCAAAGGCCTCGAGGAGCGGGTTGGACTTGAGCACCTTGTCGATGATACTCATGTTTGGGTCCGTGCTGAGGCTCGCAAGGTGCTCCATCATGATCTTGACGGTCTCGGTCTTGCCTGCACCCGACTCGCCGCTGACGAGGATACCTAGATGCAATGCAATGTGAGCGCAGTGGGCAATGGAATCCGAGTCGTACTCTGCGGGCGGTCGTAGAGCGCCATCGACTCGAACGCGGCCGCGCTTGTCGCGTAGACGTGCGGCGGCAGCCCGGAGCGGTCGCCAGCGTACAGCCGCTGCGTTTCCTTTGAGTAGAGGTTGAGCCACGCGTACGGGTTGATCGCGACCACGATGCTGCCCGTGTACGTGTACGGGCACTGCACCGCAAAGCGCGTGCGGAGGTTGAAGACGATCGCTGGCTCGTGCAGATGGTTGAGCGAGCACATGTCTTCGACGCCGACGTCCTGGAGCGTCGCCGCGCCATGCTTGGCGTCGAGCACGTTTTGCAGCGGGAGGGCCTCGGGCATGCCCTCGTCGCGCAGGTCGACCCACTTGTCGGCGCTCGTTTTGGTGGCTTCGTCGAGAACGCGCAGCAAGAGCCGCTTGCCGCCGTCTTCGGCGCGGAGGACCGTCGCCGGCGCCCACACCGCCTTGGCGTCGGGGACGTATACCTTGGCGCCTTCCATCTTGATGAGCTGGCTTGGTCTTCGATTCCGTAGTGGCCGGGCAGCAATATCCAAACTCTACAAGCCTTCGTTCTGAAATAGTGTTGGAAGAAAGTGCAAATTGGACCGGAAATCGTGTGAGAACGCACTTGCAACAGCGATGGAGGCGCCTGTACATGCGTCGTTGCGGTCTTCTTGTTGCCGTACGCTATGTACAAAACAGAGAAGCATACTCGACAAGTGCGCCGACGTCCAAGTACCGTTGGGCGTGGGTGGTTGTAGTACTGGAATGGGTCTGGCGCACGCGTCTGGATGGGAAGGCTGTGCGAATGGCAGTCGCCGTTCGTACACGAGCTCGAGGGTTCATGCTTGCTCCATCAGACGCCTGCGTACGCGGCGGTGCCAGCGCTTGATGCATGATAATGGAGCCAAGGAACAACCCTCATGAACAGCGATTCGTACACTATTTTCTTACGAAAAAGGCAAGGTCGCCAGCTGCCATCAAGGCCGTGGGCAGGGACACCAATGACATGGCAGCGCGTTTGACGAGCGACATGTCGTTGTTCATCGCTCGGCGGACACTTGTTGGTACATGGCGGATGCTGTCAAGTCGACTGCTCGTCGTCAGTGTTTGGAGGTAGGATATGCATTCGGCCAATCACACGCCGCGCTAAGCGAGCCAATCGGCATCGGCGGTTTCCCGACCTCGACGGGACAGAGCGACGATGGATCTCACGCTTGTGCTGCACGAGACGACGCCGCTGGACGTCGCGGCCATCGTTGACAGCGACGTCAACTTACGCGGTGACGCGCTCGCCGTCACGGACGGGTCGGTCCTCGTTGTCTACGCCAACGTGAGCACAAAGCTCGAGGTATCAGCGCTATGCCAAGGCCGAAGAAGACGACGACGCCCTTTTGTAGCGCCGCCTCACGCTACCTGCTGCCGACGGCGAGCGCTTCCTTCGGCTCCTGTATATCGAATGGGTACGTGGCGCTCGCCGATACGAAATGGCTCAAAGCAACGGCGTAGATCAACGCGTTTTTGGTCTTGAGTCAGAAAGGCTCGTCGATTTATCGCAAATTTCTAAGGTACATCGCTCGATTGAGATGGGAGTTCGCCGCCGTGGTGACCGTGCGCTTGCTTAGTGCGAACGCCAACACCCTCGACGATGCCACGCTTCTCTGCGCCGACGGTACTCTCGATTCTCAAACCTGCCTTTGTCGAGATATTTTCAGGCGACGTGCTCGACTGCGTCATCAACAGCGTCCGCCACGAAGTGCTCTCGGCCGATACGCACGGTGGCCTCAAGGTATGGTCGGCGCGCCTGCGCCCACCGACGGCGAGTCATCCGAGTCTCCGGCGCGACACTGTCAAGTGCCCCCAGCGACTGCACATCCAAGATACCAAGGTATTGCAGACAACTTGTCCATCATCCGATCAAAGGAACCGCCGACTAGAGTACCGTGTGGCACCGGGTCTGCGTCGACGATGACAATCAGCGTATTTTCGCAGCGTCGGCCCGGAGCATTCGTATGTTTGACGCTGTTTCCGGCCATGTTATCTGGCGACTGCCCAAGGCCGCCGAGGATCGAAGCGTACGCTTCTTAGTGTACGTGCCACCGACGCAGCATCTGCTTGTGTACGCGGACGAGACGGCGCGCTTTGATGTGTGGGTCGTCCACGACACAGCCAAAGGCACCTCTCTTGTGGAAGACACACCGCTGACCGTCTGTGCCAACGTTGTTGCGCTACAGCTGACGACCGTCGTCGAGAGTCCGTCGAGGACGCGCTTGGACGGGGCCTTTGTCACCAAGCCAGGTATAGTTATATGGACAAGATCCCGTGGCAAGTTGACGTGATAGGGTTTGGGAGCCTTGTTGTCACCGATCGCGCAGGGCATGTGTCGCTCTTCCAAATCGAAGCGACTGGGTATAGCTTGAGCGTCGCCAGCTTTTACGTGCCACCCCTTGGCCTCCCTACGTCATCACTGACGATGCGTTCGACCACTGACACGGGTGCGTCATGCATCAAGTTGATATGATTTGAGAGGATTCTCGGGGTAGCACCCGCCTGGACGGGAATTCACTGCAATTTTCACTTTGCCGCGCGGAATTACATCAGTCTCCTGCATGCGAATGGGACACTCGCGCAGCTCGAAGTCCTCGCGCCGTCGTCGACCTCGCGTCTTCTCACGTCGTCGACGCGCCTGTACAACCTGCGGGTAGACTTGATACATTGATATTCTTACTATTGACGGCATAGGATTTCGGGTTTACGAAAGCGACGCGGGGCGCGGCCTTGCGCCGAGGCTACGTGCTCTTTGGCAATGCGTTCGTGCAGGTGTTTGAGGATGCGTGCCTTGCCGTCTCAGCCCTCGCAACCGACCGCAACGACGGCGCTGAGATCCAAGACGGCTCGAACCCGATCATTACGTTTCTCGACTATGCACCTGTCCTCGCCAAGTGCGTCGTCGGCTGGTCGGACGGCGCCATCGACCTCTTTACGATCACCGGCACGCGCTGGAAGCTTTTGAAGCGTCCGTCGGGTGCGCGCTCGCGTCCAGAGTGTCAACTTGATAGTTCCATGCTAGGTGTGATTGCCGACTGTGTCTGTGCGTTTGCTTGCGCGACCAACAATACCGCTGACAGCGAGAGCTTTCTCTTTACTGCGGGCGATGCCGATGGGAGCCTCGATACGTGGCAGCTCCACGACCACGTCGCGACGTACCTCGGGCCCATGGCGGCCCACACCGACAGGTATATCCAAGTATCCACCACGTATCTCGACGACCATGGATAGCGTGCTCGCGATTTTGAGTCCTCTTGCGTCGGCCAAACCGCCGGGGGGGACGCCGCCGAGCACGATGGTGACTGTCTCGTGCGACGGCAACGTCAAGCAGTGGGACTTTCTGGACCGAAAATGGCTGCTCGTGGGCTGCTTCCGGACGCTCTCCAACCACTTGACCGTCGCGCGCGGCCTTGAAATGAACTACATTTGCGCGGGGTCGGACGAAGGCAGCGTCGAAGTGTGGAAGCTCCCACTGGCCACGCGTATTTCTCAATATTTCTTTTTGGGAATCATTTTGAGATGGGATCTTATTGTAGCGCTGCACTTTGGTACGTCCAAGAAGGCGGTGGCGCATGTCGCCCACGCCCATGCGCGACCGATCGCGGACATCAACGTGTACCAAATCATCGGCGCGACCCCCGACCTTGACGTCTGTCTCTCTCTTTCTATGTTTGCGAGAGACAATGTGTCCAACTTAGTTTACACTGTTGGCCACGTCGGCCAAAGACGGCTCGATTCTCTTTTGGCTCTTTGGCACGTCGCTCGACGGTGCGTCCTTGCTGTCGTTTCAAAGCATCGCGACGAGCCACCCCGTGTGCGGCACCTTCTTCTCGGCCACCGCCACACCGTACATCTACTTGCGTCTCTCAGTACTGAGTTGTGCGTAGCGGCTCTATTACGTTTGTCGGATGCTTTCCGCACAGCCTCGACAAGCTCTGCGTCATGCCAGCTTCGAAAAAAGCGCTCGTGGCGCTCGCCCTCGACTCGTCTGCGCCAACAAGCGTCGTCGCGCCCTCGTCGCCACCTCGCCCCCCGCCCTTGCCCTCAATCCCGGACGTGCCCGACACGGGTGCGTTCATCTCCTCGTTGGGATTGCAGACATATTGTCTATTTAGACAAAGACTATTTTGTGCACGTGGAAATGACGGCGCCCATCATCGAGCTGCATATGGACGTCGAAGAGAAGCCCCGGTCGACGACGCGTCACACCCTCGTCGACACGGTAGTACGCGGGTGCACCTCCTCTTTTGAGCGAGAGACTTGTAGGTCTCTTCGAACCTCGCGTCATCCGACATGTATGGCCTCTCGGCCAAGGACGACAGTGACGACGACGACGATGTGAATGCACCGCCGGTCTTTTGTTCTACGTATCCTATGCAGGTCCTAATATGGCGCTAGATGATTTTTCCGCCATCACGCGCCAAGACCAAGGCCAAAAAGCACACCCCGTGGCTGCCCCCCGCGCTCGCCCGCGGCGCCCCCCGCACCTATAAGACCAAGCCACCGCCGTTGGAAGCAACACCCAAGCGATTAAATGTCGTGTCGGCCTACGGCGTTTCAAGCCAACACTGCGATAGTCTAAGCATGCACTACCCCACGTACAAGCTCGACACGGCGGCGCGACCTCGCAAAGCAGCAATCCAAAATCAGCTGCCAATGGTGCACCTTTCTTCACGTACCTGCATCTAGTCATTCATGATGCCTGTTGTGTAGCCACTGATGACGTTATTGGAACACAAAGAAGCATTGCCCCCCGAGGTACACATTGTCGATGTGGCTGTGCGGCCCGCCACGATCGAGAACGGCCCGGCGTTCTGGCTCCAAGTGCAGACTAAAGCCGCTGTAAGATCTTATGGCAGCACCGATACGTATCCGCTGCATGGCTAGGCACGGCGGCGCACGGCGCTCATTCCTTCGGCGCCCCTTGCATCACTTGTGGCGGCCCCCCAGCCCTTCTCGATTGAGATGCTCGAGCTGCCATGGGTCGACCTCTCGTCGTCGCAGCAAATGGTCGAGTTGCAGTGCAGTGTCTTGTGTCTTGCCGTGCTGCACGCCGCCGAGGTGGACTGTGTCGATTTGCCGACAGCGCCCCTCGATGGGGACCTCTCAGCGACCGACCGCGCGGTCTGGAACCGGTACACATTGTGGTACCTCCACAAATCGAATGTAGTACCTTTTCTGGATCCAAGTCGGGTTGAAGTCTTGGGTCGTGTAGGCGCGAAAACTGTTTTTGAAACAAGAGCTCTTGTACGTGCTCTCCCATGACGATGTGGTCAAGCAGACGCAAATGCTTGGTCTGGCGGTGCCCCGCGCCTCGGACGCCGAGAGCCAGAACCACGCGAGTCCCCTCTTTTTTCGCTGGGCGCGCTTCTGTCTCTGGTACGTAGTTAGTTCCAAGGGCGGAGCTGACGAGGGGTAGGTATACACGCGGTCTCGTAGCCGGAAGCGTCGACGAGCTCCAATGGCTCGTGGACGAAGCTGACGACGAGCCGAAGCGCATGTCGCGCTTAGAAGAGCGTACGCTGCTGCTTCGCGAACGCCTCCAGCAAATAGAGCAAGCCAAATATGACTTTGAAGTGCTGCAGAAGCGGGAGCTCACACGGATGACGGCGGCCTCGAAAGCTGCGGCGATCATGCTGCAGCGGTATCGCCCGTCGATTTGCTGATATGTTTTCGTCAAATGGGAGTGTGTAGGTTGAAACGACCGGTGCCGGTCCCCAAGATCGTGCTGCCTCCGGAATTGGTGGCGCTGGAACTTGACTTTTTCCAGCCGATTGCGCTTCCCGATGGCACGCGTCTCGAATTTGTGCCATGGGAAAGCATGAGCACCGTCGAGCAAGAGAAAGAGCTCGCGCTCGCCATGAACGACGTGCGCGTGCGCTTGGAAGCCATGCGCCACCACATCATTTTGCCCGACGAAGTGAGTGCCTTGGCGCTTGGTACGTTCATTGTCGTGATTTTGCGTGATATTTCCTCATTTTTTCCTCATTTTTATCATGTTTTCCTGATTTTTCCTGATTTTCGTGTTTTTTCAAACGTTTCACGAAAATGTTGAATTTACATTCAAATTTTGACAATGTGTCACTTGGGATGTAGACGACGAAGGACTCGTGCGGGAGCGCTGCGCTGCCTTTCTGACGTGGTGGACAACGACCAACAACCCAACGCGCATGGAGTTTTTGCGGCACGAGGCAAAAGAAGCAGCGGCCGACGAGACGGTATTTGCGGCTATGTCGACAACCCTAATCCACGACGAGTTAGGTCAAAGTCGCCGCATCGCAAGTGGGCATTGACGTTGCGTTCTACACGGCGCTGCAGGCTTTTCATCAGCCGGGCAAACCGCCTCTGCACCGCGATGCAGACCTCGAAGCGCATCGTGACGTGTACCACGACTGGTACTTTCAAGTCGCCAACGCCGAGCACTTGGCGCGCGTCGAATTTCTCAAACAAAAAGTACTATCGATATCATGCGTCGTGCATTGACAATATTGTCGTTGGGCAGGTGCTCAAGCTCAAGCGGCAGCTGCGGCTCCAGATGCTACTGGAGCTCGGGCGGATGCCACGCCCGCTTTTGTATGAGATTGCTCCGGCGCCACGCTTGGCGTTCGACGTCGATGAAGTGAAAAGCAAGCCCGAGCCCGTTGTGGCGCCGCCGATCGAAATTAAAGAGGTCAAACCCGTGCTCGAAGCGCCGGCCATTGTCGAAGTTCGCGAAAAAATCGACTACGATGCCCTCGCCAAGCAACGCAAGGCCAAGGAGCGCCAGCAGTGGGAAGACGAGATGCTCCTGAGCAACCGCGCGCAAATGGAGTCGGAAGATGCGGCGGCGCAGCTCTGGCGGTCCATGGTACGTACCTGTTATGGAGACCATTATCTTAGCGGCGGCTAGGACGACGAGCATGAGGACGAGGTGGTCGAGGAGCCGGCGCCCCGCGTCCGCGCCGCCCGCGACTATACCCAATCGTACTTCTTTTCGTCGCTACCGAGCGCGCAAGATGCGTACGCCATCGCGGGCCTCGGGTGGCGCGCCGGTTGTGGCCTCTACAACGGCGACGAAGAGGCCGAAGTGCGCGAGGTACATGTTTTCTTCGATACATTCGCATACCTATCTTGGTGGCCAGGTGCGCGAGCTCGAGCGGCTTCGTCAATTGGAGCTGGACCGCCTCGATCGTATGGCACCTGGATATGCTTAAGACCCGTCCCAAGATGCATCTTTGTAGGGCTTCGCATTGCGGAAGAAGAGCGGCTGGCGGCGCTCGCCCTCGCCGAGAAAGAGCGCGAAGAGGAGCGCAAGGCCGAGAAGCGCGCGCGCGCCGTCGAGCTCAAGCGCATTCTCGCGTTTCAAAAAGGTCGATCTCGTTGTGTCAACTTGAAACACTGATAGGTTGTAGAACTCGCGACGCAGCGGGAACTCGAGCGGCAACACGCTGCCCGCGAGCGAGAGACGGCCGCCATGGACGCCGAAGAGCATCGCGAGCGCCAGCGGCTCGCGGATCTTGTGCGTGAACGCGCGCTCATGACCGACGCTGAGGCCGAGACGCGGTTCATTGCCACTGCAATAGTCAAGGCGCGTCGGCACGATGCAGAAACCATGGCCGCCAACCGCGTTGGCATGCTCGCCGAGGACGCCCGGTCCCGGTACCGCTTGCTCTTGCGGTTAGGGTTATTGCGGCTAAATGGTCGTGACTAGAGACGCCGCCGCGCATGCCGTGGCGACCGAGCGCGCGCGCCGTGAGCGCATCGGGTTTCTAAAGGAGCTCTATACGCCGTTCGAGCCTTTCTTTGCCGGCGCGGATGAGGACGACGGCCGGTGTCTCGCACCCGAGCTGCGCCCGACGACCGAACACCGGCGGTATATGGACAACTACACCATGTCCTTTGGTGACGCACTCGTGCTCGAGACACCGGCGGCCGAAGTGTACGCTGCGCAGCCATCCAAACGCTTCCAGGCGCTCTTAGGTGTCCCCATCAACTACCGCCGGTTTGCGTATTTTCCTTCATTTTTATTTGTGTAAACATGGACTAGACCGCCGTCGACGCCGTATGCCAACGTGGCTGCGTCCATGGAGACGTTGGCGCGGGCGCGCGCCGTTCCCGGTATTGACGTCGCGACACCTGGCGTCCCGATGGCCCCGGTGCGATCCCGGCCCCATACAACCCTGCCGCCCAGTGGCGAGATGGAAATGCCGCTTCGCGCCGTGCACACATCCGGGTACGGTTGGTCCACGATAAAGTGTAGACAATGCGAGCAATAAACGACTAGGTGGAGCCCCGAGCGCAGTGGGACACCGTCCAAGCGCCGCACCAAGTACCGACGGCGACAGACACCGACAGTGCTCTCGGAACTGCCCATGACGCTTGGTGGGCGCGCCAACAACCAACAGAATGGTACAACTGCGCTACGAATTGCCAATCATTTCTTAGCGCCGTGTGCGTAGACGACGTGTTTCGTCAGTCGACATTGCCACCGCCCTTTTTCAGAGGCAATTTCACGGTTGTCGGCAAGCAACCCGAGACAACAACGCGGCGCGGTGCCACGCCCAAGAGCGTTCTCTCCAAAGCAAGTAGTGGTGACGACGACCCGCAGGCGTTTGCCATGTTGCCGACCGACTAAAACCTTCTTGGGAATCGAGTCGATAGCTCCCTCGTCGCTTTCGAGCTAGCAACAATTCTCGATGCGCTGAAGAAAAGCGGTGGTTTGCAGTGACCAGCTGTGCCTGGACCTCTACTCGTCTTGTTGATGAGCGTTGGGTGGGGTGCCACCGCCGCTTCTTCGTCGAGATTCGCTTACTCGCATGAAGGAGCGCCGAACGTGCATCGCGCCGGGTGGTTGGACACTGTCATCTTAACGGATTGCGGTAGATATGTTGCCAGTTGGTCTCTGTGGACAGACCCTATTGACTGGACTGACGGGGATGCGCTACGTAGTACTTGCTATGCATATTTTGTCAACACCCAAGTTGGCGAGAGCGCAGTGGTCGGAGGAAAGCTCATTTGGGACTGTGAATTCGAAGCAAGGCCAGAGAATGTGGCCACATGTAGTAGCTAATGTAGCGCACGCGACTGCCCTTTCGAACAATGGCGCCAGCGATGCATGCGTGCCGGCGTCGGACGAAGCGCGGCTGTCGGCGTTCAGTACGCGCCTCCGCGAGTCCGAGTCAATGTAGCTATTTGTCGAGTCGACGATGTCTAGTGTTTTTGTCGCACATATCAACGTTACGGTGTGGTCAGTGGGCGAATTTTAGTTAGTCATCGCGCGCGTGACGTCGTGTGTGCGTGCGACGATGCGAGACGCGTGTCGAAATTTGCCTCGTCGCTTTGAGGGGCCTTGAGCACAAGTCATCATAGAACTAGCACAACATGAAATTCACTACATTTGGTTGTGGCAATGCACTCAAACGCCATTTTTGATGTCGTCGTCGTCGCCCCATGACGAGATGCGCAGAGAACATCTATCTGCGTCTCCCCATCGCTGCACTGGACTGCTCAACGCACTTGCGAGCGGTGCCTGCCCACTGTGGCAGTCCAATGTCTGGCACCCACGAGACAGAGTACTTAAACATGATATAGGCGAAAATTTGATGTCATCGCCGAATCCAGGTGCCAACAACAACCGTACAACCGTGTACTCTGCCGTGGCAGCCACGATCATGCCACGTGTGGCCAATCCCACGCACGTAAGTTATGTGCACCTCAAGTGCACGCACTTGGTACCTTTTTTCTAATTTTATATTTGGTTCAAGTAACATCATATTTTGAACTTCGCGCACCTGAAGTTCGCAAGCGTGACTGCTGCTATCACACACGATTTTTGTCTGCCATCGTGGACAACGCCATTTGTCGTCATGGACGATCACTTGCGAATTTACCATGTCGCTGCCGCTGCCGAGGGACTTTTTCACGTGCCCGCCGCTCTCGCCGGGCGATCATGGAACCCTCTTGGCGCAGGCCGAGCGCCTCTGCCACGACACGGTGCTCAACGCGGTCACCATGGCGCGGGCGCCGCCGACCAAAGTCCTCGTCAACGCTTTTACGAAGCGGCGTGCGCAGGTATCGTCGATACTCGAGTATCTAGAGTTGTGAAACGAAGGTGTCTCTTGCAATAGTTGCACGCGGGCACTGACATTTACGCGCCCGAGCACTATGGCATCACGGGGTCGTCGCAGATCAAGGCGTCGTACGACGAGTTGTATGATTTTTTTCATTTAAACTCGGACGACAAAGTCCGCACGTACGGCAAAGTCCTTGGCCAAGCCGTTGTGGACCGGCAGACGTTGTACAACTTGTCGGCGCCCGGAGCGACGACCTCGCCCATGCATGCCGGCGTCCAATGGAGTGTGATTGCGTGTCCGTTCATCTCGTCGGCGATCACGCTCAAGCGCGATTCGTGCTTTCTCGAGGTATTTAGTACCATTTTCAATGTTTGTATAGACAAAAACGGTTTTCCGACAGGTGCTCGACACGATTACCTTTGACGACAAGGCCACCGGCCGACGTCGCCGCGGCTTTGTGCGCGCAATCCACTCGATCGCACTGGACTGCTGCCCGTCGCTGCGCCAGTCGCATAGCATTGTGCGGTCCAGCTTTGTCCGGGTACGGTTACATTTTGGAAACCGTCAGATCTGACGGTTACACACATCACGATTGTCTCATAGTTTGTGTCTAGTCGGGGCACGTCTTTCTCGAGACCAGCGTCCCTGGACTCTTTGACCACTACTTTGCTTACGTCATTGGCGACCCGGGGTTGACTCCGAAATTCTTCAACCTCAAAGTGTGTGAGCGCATGGTGGGCCAGGTACACACACCTCTCTACACCCCAGTATCGAACTCATGGAAAATCATAGATGCTCAACCTCGAGCCCCATTTGGCGCTGAAACGGCTCCCGGCCTTATTACTAGGGGGCGCTTCCCGGCCGTCGTACCGGTCCGGCGCCCGCATCACATACTGCGAGTCGTGCGACACCAAATTCCAGTTTCTCCGAAGCAAGCACCATTGCTATCACTGCCGCCAGGTCCGTCCACCGCCTTGTAGCGGGCACTCGTGCTCAGTCCGTGGATGCTAGATAGTTTGTCGGCGCTGCATTCAAGCGTACAAGGTCCCCGTGCTCGACGACGAGACCGCGCCGGTCGTTCGGCTATGTACCTACTGCTTTTGCGGCAACACGCCCCAGCGCTCGATGCGAGGTACCTTGTGCACCAGTGGTCCTTCGAAAACTGATCAATGCACTAGGGGGACGTGCCCCGCCCACCATGTTTGCAATGGTCCCGCGCCACGACAGCGTTGACGAGGATGCGCGCTGGACCAATAGCCGCCCGGTACTCGAGCGCGACGGGTCGTCGTCGGAAGCTTCGTTTGTCACTGCGTCGTACAGCGCAGCATCGCCTCGCATTCTCTTGGATCTCGGCGACAGTTTTATTGCGAGTAGCACCGCTAGCACCGTCCACCTCTACCACCAATGACAATATAATAGAACTCTAGATGGAAAAATTGTGTTCACTCACTCGTAGGGAATAGAAAGCATATACTTAGTGGTGGGATCTCTTGTTCAACCAATTCTATAAACGCATTCGACATTACCTTTCATCAAGAACGACAACGCGTCTAGTGGCTTGAGATGATATGTGCGAAGTGAACACGCAAGCATCGAACGGATGCGGTACACGTCGGCTCCACACTGCGCATACAATAATGGGGCTATGTCTTTTGCGACTTGCCTCATACCTACTAGTTCTACTACGTGTAGGTGAGACATATGAAGGAAGACATAAACGTCCACTGCAACGTTCGTGTTGCACGGCTCGACAGCGACCATGCGGGAGGTATCTGTGGTCGGAAACGAAGGGCTAGCTTTCTTTGAAAGCTTTATGTATGATCCAAATATCGTCATTTGGGTGCGGCAGGGGCGCTGGGGCTCTGTCGTCGAGCGTGTGGTGGTGGTGATATTGGCCGTATCCACCTCGTACGGGTACCTTTAGCACGAGGAAGCTGTGTGCTGCCAATCAAGGCTCGGGTGCACTGTGAGTTATCCTACATTATCGCACGCCCGTGCGTTTGGGTGGCGACGACGACAAATCGCTTGATGGATCTGGCTGGACTCAGGGACGATTTACTGAGATACTGCAGCGCCTTTGACACCGTGGTGGCCAGTGCTACGAGGTTGGACGACATTTATCTGCATCAGGTACTGTGACGTCGCTAGTTCTGGCACCTGCAGTGTTTATAGGCGTCGGTCATGCGATGGCGTTCCCCGAGCGCACTTCTCCTCCAATGATATTCCACCACTGGAAAGTGGCTCAAGGCGGTTGCGAATGCGACTCGTCGGACTTGGCGTTGACAAAGAGTGGCTCCTCCAGAATCTCAAGTACTACCGACAACAGTGGCAGCCCGCGTTTAATCTCGGTTTGCCATGGCGGTAGCTAGTGGCGGGATCAACTTGCGGTGCGCGCGTAGAAGCGCACAGTTGCATCGTCGTTCAAGCGCGCGCGTCTCAGGTGCGCAATGTGCAATGTGGCCAGCACGACATGTTTGTGCTGGATGCGTGGCGACGTCGACGATCATTTTGGATTCCACCATGGCCTTCCCACTCCCACCGGGTTACTTTGCGTGCCCACCGCTCTCGACGATCGAGCGCGACTACCTCGTGGGCCAAGCCCACCGTATTTGCACCGACACGGCGCGAAATGCTCTCACAATGGCCAAGACACCACCAGCCAAGATCGTCGAGCACCCAGCGACCATGCGTCGTGCGCTGGTACATCCGAGTGCGAGTTTCGTCGTATTTCTTACCGTGGCGACTAGCTCCACCATGGCAACGACATTGTCGACGCGTCACTGTACGGCGTCACGGGCTCGTCCCAGATCCAGGCCACGCAAGACGAAATTTTATCATTTTTCCACTTGTCGACAGAAGAGAAGGTTCAAACCTACGCCAGCGTCGTGGGCCAAATCGTTTTGGACCGGAAGACGCTGTATACACTGGCCGACCAAACACGCGACATTGCGAGTCCGTTCTACTACGCGGGTGTTCAATGGAGTGCGATCGCATGTCCGTTCATCTCCAAGTCGCTGACGCTCAAGCGGGACACGTGCTTTCTCGAGGTAAACGCTGGTTCATGTTGAAATCCGTGTCGAGACACTGTATGTAGGTGCTGAGCTCGATCGAAGTGGACGACCCCATCAGTGGTGCGCCGCGAAAAGGCATTGTGCGCGCACTGCACTCGGTCGCGCTCGACTGCTGTCCGTCGCTCCGGGCCTCCCACAACGTCGTGCGAGGTGCTTTGGTGCGGGTGCGTCCCTTTCCTGTTTTGTACAGTGGATGCATATTCTGTATTGAAATCGTGGCGTGTAGTCGGGGCACGTCTTTTTAGAGACAGACGAAATCGGCGTGTACGACTACTTTTACACGTACATCGTTGCCGACCCGGGCAACGTGCCTCGGTTTGTGAACCTCAAGATATTCCAGCGCATCGTCGGCCAGGTACCTCCACTTCTGTTTTTAAACACTGTATGAAACAGTGTCCAGATGCTCAACCTGGACCATCACCTCGCGATCCAGCGGCTGCCATCGCGGATCGCTGCAGCCCAGCCATTGCCGCGGTTCAAGGACGCGCGGCCCATCACATACTGCGAAGCCTGTGACACCAAGTTCAAGCTCTTTGCCTCCAAGACGCACTGCTACCTCTGCCGCCAGGTGCGTCGACAATGTGCGCTGGTTCGAAGGGTACTAATGTCGTGCTATAGGTTGTCTGCAGCGCATGCATCACAACATATCGGCTGCCGATTCTCAACCGCCACAACATGGACCTCTGTACCCAGTGCTTTTGTGGCAACAGCGGACGACGCAAGTTTGGTATTATACTGTTTTTCCAAGACAAAATTTGACACTGCGTGTTCCTAGGGAGCCGCCGCGGGAAGCAACTCGCACCGTCCTGCACAAACAGCTCCCGAGGGGGCTCAGATGTGCTCTCAACGTGGAGCTCGATCCAAAGCGCCCGATTTTCAGCATCGTCGATCGCCGACTCGGAGGACAAGTGGACCACCGTCGCACGGCCGCCGCTCGAGTCCAGCGCGACTTCCGAGTCCATCACGTCGTCCCAAGTCGAGCGCGACGTGACCAATGCCCTCGACACAACTTCGGACCATTTGATCCAGCTTACCCGACGTCATTATATGGGCTTTGGTGGTCGTTAATCGCAAACTTAGTGATTTATTTTATCCGCTAAATTGTTTTTGTTGGTGGAGAATGTCAATATTTGACCAACCCTACGCATCTTTACAACGTATGTATCTCCCGTGTGTTTTACACGGCGATGAGCCAAAAATGCGAGCTACACAGTAGAAATTGTCGAGAATATGGTCGTGTACCGAAAGAATAATCTCGTATCTTCTAGACTCACCTAACTAAACTTATACCAGTATATGAATACGCTGAATTGGTGCGGTGGTAGATGTTCTTTCTCAAGCCTCAAGCGACGGAACGGCGGTGACGCAGAGCTGTGGTGCAGCGAGATTGCACTCTGTCGTGGGGACGTCGCTGTCATGGGGACGTCAAGTATCCGGATAGGACTCAGATGTTTACCGTTCTGGCCGCCAAAGGACAACGAATCACGCGCGCTAGCACCGACGCCCGAATACCGCAGACGTCCCGACGCGAACGGTACAACGACACGATTATCATGTATCTTAATTGTACTACCAACAGGGCTTGCTCTCGCGTCCCTACTTGGCACCAGTCACGTCACGGCTGGCACCAGCTCGAGCGCGTCGTACGGCCCCATGTCTGCAGTCGCAAGGACAGAGCAAGTAGTACCGAACGCCTCTCCAACAAAGCTACAGCAAGCTGTCAATGTCGCCAGTCTCTGCTCAGTCAAGTGAATCGAGCAAGCGGTGCCGGCTACAACCCCACACAAGACTGCACGATCACACCCAAACGCGTCGATGCCACGGTCCTACGTCGTCTGCGACATGTGACATTGCTGCAACGAAGACGGCGTCAGTTCACAATCCGCAATGAGCAAGGGTCTGCCGCTGCCGCCGGGCTTCTTCCGGTGCCCACCGCTGCGGAACGCCGACGTGCAGCACCTCCGGTCGATCGCGGACGAGGCGTGCGCCGACACGATTGCAAACGCGCTTGCAATGGCCAAGCTGCCGCCCAAGAAGGTGGTCGCCCACCCACGCACGAAGCGCCACGTCCAGGTACTTGTACTTGTTGCTATTGACGGACCTTAACAGCATTGCCGCATGTAGCTGCACCACGGCCCCGACTTGCGCCAGCCCGAGCTCGACGGGATCACGGGCGTGACGCAAATCGCTACGAATTACGACGAGCTCCATAACTTTTACCACCTCCAAACGGCCAAGCAAGTACGGACGTACAGCAAGGTCGCGAGTCAAACACTCCTGGACCGCGTGACGTTGTATACGCTGGAGCGGTCGACGTCGCCGTTTCGGGTCACGAGTGTTGTCTGGGCCGCGATCGAGACGCCAATCCTCAAGCTATTGCCGGGGGCCATCGCCAAGCGCGACACGTGCTACATCGAGGTACACAATTGTCTGTTAGTTTTTCCTTTATTTTCTATTTTTCATATTTTGGGTGTTTGGATTGATACATTGATACGTAGTGCATTCGGGACGTGACTGTGGTTGACGGCGACCGCGTTCGCCGTGGCTTTCTCCGCGTCATCAACTCGATTGAACTGGCGTGTTGTCCGTCGCTTGAAGCGTCGCACGGCCTTGCTCGCGGCCAGCTCTACCGGGTACGACCGCTCACATGCTCTGGCCAAGTTGTCTAATAAATGTATAGTCGGGCCATATCTTGCTCGAGTCGCTGGACCACGACGGGCTCTTTGACTTTTATTCAACGTATGGCGGCGATGCGAGTGGTTCGATCCCGCGCTCGATCAAGCTCAAGGCCATGGAGCATTTTGTCGGCCAGGTAGACGTTTACAGACAATATTGTGCACTGAAAAAGATCGATAGATGCTGCGCGTCGAAGACCATTTTTGCCAAGACCGAATCACAACGCGTCTCGCGATGCAGCAACGCGCATTTGTGGCGCCGGCGCCGTTTCGCGCCAAAGCCCCATTTTGCGAACTCTGTTTCAAAAGTTTCCATCTGCTCTCGCAAAAACTCCAGTGTTTTTTCTGCCACAAGGTATTTTGGATCGTAGAATTGTCGATTCAATATGGACAATGTGCATACTACCAGATGGCGTGCAAGCGCTGTGCCCATGTTCTCCAGGCCGAGACCATGGCGTTTCCAAAGAAAATTCGAGTCTGCACCACCTGCTACTGCCCGACATCGCGCCGCCGCACAACAACGACAGTCCACAGCGGTTGATCTACGTTTTCGTTGATGACCGCCTTGGCTTATGCAGTCATTTGTAGACACACTCTCGGACGAGGCCAGCAGCGTCTACACCGTGGGTGGTCCCATCGCACTCGATGACGACGATGACAAGCCGCGTGCGATTCAACTATACCCTCAAAACGAGAGGCGCCGAAGTTCGATGACACAACCCACCATGATAGACGACGACGACGAGTGGGGGTTTACGCGCACAACAACGGCCCTCTCCGTCCTCGACTCGCGGTCGTCCTTTAGCTCGTACGCACCGTCGGTTGTCGCACCGTCCGCCACCGGCGCCGGCGATAGCACACGCGGGCAGTATGGCTATTACTAGTGTGCTCATGTGGCATATTTTGTATGGAAACTACTATGGTGTACCGATGCGAGATGCAGTTGGATATCGACTATAGACGATAACGTCCATCAACAAATGTGTAGAGCCAAATATACGTTTAGTACCTTAGTCGAATGGTATATTGCACAATACTGCGGCTAGAGCCGGATGGATTCCAATATACAAGTCCGTAGAAAGGCGCGCTGCTCAGTACTGCCTCGGAGAATATATGGCGTTGGCCTTTGCACCTCGTGATACAATCAAGGGTGCGTGCGATGCTTGCAAAGGTTGCTGATGAGGATGCTGGCGCTCCGAAGGGACAAAGTTAGCAGCCGACAATGCATGGTTCGTGCAGAAGCCCAACATCATCCTGCACGTCAGCGACAAAGTGGTCGTGTGACGCAACCCCACTCGTCTCGTCAACGCACGCAGCAGATGCCAAGGTCTTGTCTGTGGCGCCAGCCCCTCTGTGTCGCGACTTCGTGAAGCAAAGACAGGATGGTCGTAACACGGTCCGCGAACGTGGCTCCTTGCACGTTGTCTGTAGCTATTCCACGCGCGCTTGCCAGGCGACCGGATGAGGCACGAGTAGCGTGACGACGCTGGCGGCTCGAAGACCAAAATTTACTCAAGCTCCTTGGACACGAAGTGGCCACCTGGATGATTGTCCATGGCCGTGAGTCACAGCGACCGCCAATGATATCCCGAGGTTGCCGTTGGAGCAGCTGGTGACGATCTCGAAATTGCCGTAGGTAGTACCTGTGGCCGCCTTTTTATGGTCCAGCACTCTCGTTCGAGGCTTCCAGGGCGCCCTTACGCCTGCCGTCGCCGCCGACCCAGCGATAAGACTTTAAACAGCATTGTGCATTTCGTATACGCAGGTAGATCCGCTTGTGGGCTACATTCCACGTGGTCTACAGGGCTGTTTTCGACCAACTGTACTTGGCTACGGCAATTGCCGAACCAGACGATGCCGGTGGGTTGAAGAGCTCGTGCAAGGCGCAGTTCACTTGCGGAGCGATGGGAGGGATGTCCTTGCCGCTGCCGCCCGACTTCTTTCGCTGCCCGCCGCTCTCAGCGTCCGAGCGCCAAGCGTTTGTGCACCAAGCGCACCACATTTGCTTCCTCACCGCGCGCAATGCAGTCTCGATGGCAGCCAAGGGCCCACCGACCAAGGTGCTCGTCCATGCCCAGACCAAGCGCCGTCTCCAGGTACGACCCACGTCCGACTCGTCACCGAGATGCGAGACCCAAGCGTATATTCTATCCACATGTAGATCTACCACGGCAGTGACGTGCTCGACGCGACGCTCGACGGCGTCGTTGGCGTCACGCAGGTCCACGCGTCCTGGGACGAAGTCGCCGACTTTTATAACCTCAGCAGCACCGAGAGCGTTGCGACCTTTGGCAAGGTGTTTGCGCACTCGACCGCCGACCGGTGCTCGCTCTACACGCTGCGCCGGTCGACCAAGCGGCCGCTCAAGTACGCCGGCATTTCGTGGATCGCCATGGACTGCCCGTCGCCTTTTCTCAAGCGCCGCGACTCGTGTGTCCTCGAGGTCTTCCTCCTTGATACGATGAACGGTTGTATCAATGTATCGAGAATAGGCCATTCGTGAGTATGAGATGCAGTGCCCGGACACCAAGGCCGTGCGCCGGTGCTGGGTGCGCGCGCTGCACTCGCTCGAGCTCGACTGCTGCCCGTCGCTCGAGCAGAGCCACAAGATGGTCCGTGGCCGGCTCGTTCGGGTACGTTTCTTTTTTGTATCAAGTTGATTCTTCGCTTCCTAATGGTTGAGGAATCGGCTAGTCGGGACATGTCTTTATGGAGACGGACCGCCCCGGGGTACTCAACTACTTTGTCGTGTACATTGGGGAAGCCTACGGCACCGTGCCCCGGTTCGTCCAGCAGTCGTGCCTCCAGCGAATGCTGCCGCCGGTGCGTTGTGACGGAATGTGCGTCGACCGACGACACCATTGTAGATGCTCCGCCTCGAGCCGCATCTGCAGCGCCAGCGCCTCGCCTTCTACTTTCTCCATCACCCGATGCATCCGATTCGCATTGCGCAGCGCAAAGCGGCCGAGTGCGGCAGCTGTCGGAGTGCGTTTGGCGTCTTTTCTGGTCCCAAGACCATGTGCCAAGTGTGTGAAGAGGTATCCTTAGCTCTCTCGTTGGACAAGAGACACTAACGCTATTGGATGCTAGACCATTTGTAAGAGCTGCCACCTCGCCGTCCGCATCGACTTGCACCAGTCGACCGTCACGGCCATGGTTTGCACGGCGTGCTACACTGGCATGCTGCCACGTACGTTGTCGCTTGATACTCGATGTTGATACTAACCAAGAGACTAGGAACCGAGTTTATGCGCCGTCAGCACGCGGCATCGACGATGGTGACCATGTCGTTGGTGGACGGCGAAGCCAGTCGGCTTGGCCTTGACGCGTCGTTCGTCGCCCACGCCGAGACCGTCGAACAGACGTTTGGGCTGCCGTGTGTCCAAGTCGGCCTCGATGGCGCGATTGAAGTCTACGATGAAACGTCGCCGTCGGGCAGCAACCACACGTCGTTGTAGTTGTTCCGGCGTTTAGGGTTTGGTGTTTTAAATGTCCGTAGGTACTACAATAGCTACTACAGTACTCTTCTCGCATCGTACACCTCGGGTTGCGAGCGTCTGGCGATGCAGAGCCACCAGAACCGAGCAATGTGTGGGTGGGCAGCGTGGTCGCCGTACTGGTAGGTGTGGTACATTACTCTTGACGTCTCTGAATACAGCGCCAAAGAGGGTGGCAGCCAAAGGTATCGCGGTATCCCCGCGCGAGAGCATGTATCTGTCGATGACGTTCGAGTCGCTTTGACTGCTTTGGCTGGAGCGCAAGAAAGGTAACAGTTAGCCAGCATTTTGTATCTAGTCTACGGCCTCGTTTGCCTCTACACCTTTGAGATTCCCACCATCCACCGCGATCTCAAGTCATGGCATGTCCTTCTCGACTCGAAAAAGGTCGTGTGGTTGCGCATGTCTCATGGAGAAAGGGATTAGGGTACCAAACTCGCTAACGTTGTCGAGGCGCGCGAAATGGTCGCTGACACTCACAAATGTCATTGGGACCTATCAACGGTTATCGCCCGAGATCTTTATTAGCCACAACTACTCGACGGCCGCCGATGTCTACAGTACTCGTTTGGTACGTTGTGTGGAATGTAGGGATAGGGTTCATAGTAGGGCTAGGTGTCTTGCTCGCCGAGGACCGGTGCTCGTCGCATCAACTTCCCTACAAGGACGCCATGCATCCACGCACCAAGAAACCAATGACCCCACAGTTTTCATGGCCCAGGTCGTCGCCGGCGAGCTCACGCCGTCGTTTGATGCGGCGACGCCGTCGTCGTGGGCGCTCGACCTCGCGACGGAGCTCGATCCATCCCTGCGTCCGAGCATACTGCAGATTACGAGTCAAATGCTCCCCACGCCCCAAGTGAGCATCTCGATCTTTCACAGCGCATTGAAGGGGGCTGATTGGTATCGAAGTCAGGCTCGTCGCTGGGTTGTTGCGCGGGCAGCACATCAGTGGAACTCTGTCTGGACCTGATGCCGACATGTGCACTTTGACGCATCTCGATCGTCAAAGGCGGAGACCAAACATTCTCGCAGCACAGCTAGTCGATTGGCATCAGCGAGAGCGCTCACGAGGAAGGATGAAGAGAGGCATTGTGAGGTCCTTGGTGCTCGACGTGGTCGCATCGAGACCTACAACGGACGCAGATGCAAAGGTGGGATCCTGAATCGCTGATGAGTATCGCCGATCATAGCTCCGATCATACACTACGACCGCTCGGCTGCAGCTCGGTATCTTGGCCTCCGATGCTTGGCATCGTGATATCTCGGGTCAGGTCCGGTAGCCACCGCCGATTCGACGCGCACACGTGTCGCAGCGCAGGACCTTGGATGGCTTCAGCTTCGCTTCCGTCATGGCTGATCGCAGCAACTGCAGCAACGAGTAGCTCGTTCAGCTCGTTCGTCAGCTTTCTGTAGAGCGTCTCATCGCCAAGACCAGCAGCAGCCACGCACTACAGTAAACGTAGAGCATCATTGCTGCCAGCTCGGATCGTGGAGCCCACAAGGAGCCCGTCGACGCGCGTTGTTGAACCTCAAGAACGTCGTTTGAGGTTCAACGCTTTGAGTGCCGGAGGAAATCACACCTAGCCTCTGTCGGCGGTCGGGCCTTCGGGCGCCACCGATGCTGCGTATACACTGAGAGGTCGCTACCTTTGCACATAAACTCTGTGCTGCGATGCGTCTTCGCTTGGCTTGATTCGATTCGGCGAGATGCTGGCAATTGCCGCTGGCTACCTATCAGGCCACCCATCGAATATGATTGTCTGTCAATTTCGACGATGCCACATCGCCGTATGTCCTTTTTGAGTTCGCCAACCTGTTACAAACATCCAGTACAATGCTGGGCTCCAACTCAAACACAAAACTCAAAATCAAAATTAAAAAACGGCGACAGTGCACTACCATCTGGACAGTCTGCCATTGTCTGGCCGTCACTCACATCTCGATGCCGTCGTCGTCACTGCCGCTGCCGCCCAACTACTTTCGCGCGCCCAAGTTGGCGCCGCTGCACCGCGCCAACCTCATCACGAAAGCGCACGAGGTCGTCCAGGACACGGTCAAGAACGCGCTGTCGATGGCCAAACTGCCCATCACCAAAGTGCTTTTGAACCCCGCGACGCGCCGCACCGCCAACGTACATACCTCGTCTCGTTCCTATTTGATGGACACATTGTCCTTCTTTAGATGCACGAAGGCGTCGACATCAAGGACCCGTCGCTCATCGGCATGACGTGCGTGACGCCGGTGCGCGCGACGTTCGAGGAGGTCGCCGACTTCTACGCGCTCACGTCGCCGCGCAAAATGCGTGCGTACGCGAGCGTCGTGAGCCAAAACGTCCTCGACCGGGTCACCTTGTACACGCTTGTGAACGACGAGACCGACTTGCATTTGCCGCTCACCCAAGTGACGGTGATTTGGAGCGTCATGGAGAGCAATTTCTTGGCCAAGTCGATTGCGATGAAGCGCGACGCGTGTTACCTCGAGGTATACAATGGCGCACGGACGATCGACAATAGTGTACCTTCATATTGTCGTCTAGTGCATTAGCGAAAACTACCTCGAAGACCCGGCGACCGGCACGCTGCGCCGCGCGTGGGTCCGCGC